AACCACCCTACTGAAGAAAACAGATCCTACCCAGGCTACGCATTTTTGTAAGTTGTTCTACAAATATGGTTCTAGATCAGAAAATGGTTCATTACAAATGTGAAGTGCTACAAAGAACCATAAGAACCTTCAAATACTGCTCTGCTGTCTTCTGAAGGAGCAGAGTTGTTGTTTTTGTTATATTTGTCAAGTATGGTTTTGTGCTAATGTTTTTAGTACTAAGACAAAATAAAATATACATTTAAAAACCTCAAAAACAGTGTTGGATCACTAATAATACTGTCAAGAAAACATGACAACACAACCAGTATCAGCATAACATCTCAGATTTAATATTGTACAGTTAGGCAGAAAGAATAACAGTTGAAGATAAAACATGAAGAAATACAATCGGAAATTGAAAACTGTATACATATACAAACAATAATAAGAAAACAAACATGTCTAGAGCCATGTTCAGGTCTACTGTAAAAAAAAAAAAAAAAAAGTGATGACTGGTTAAAGAAAAGTTTTTTTCCTTTTTCCCAGAATACTGTTCTACTAAAACCTTAAACTAAACACGTACTTCAGAGCATCTGTGTGGTTTAGCGATCCACGACAGGAAGAACGGAGTGTTTTCGAACTTGCATAATGACAAACCTGCAAAATATATAATAGTGTGTGATCACATGAGGCATATGGGGACTCTTTATTGCTCTTTGCATTGAGAGTTTTGTGCACGTTGCGGTCTATACGCTGTTTGGCATGTGTTAAGACCTGGAGCCTGCGTGTTATAAATCTAAACTATCCAACAGAAACAAAAGAGCTCTTCCATTCTCATTTCCATTTGGAATGTAAAGCGAGTTTATTATAAAGGGTAATCTGGGTAAGTATGGCTAAAATTACATCTGTTTAGATATACTGAACTCACTCAGGTTAAAACTGACCACCAAGCCCTGATCTAGGTCCAGCCCCAACAACTAAAAGTCCAAGTCCCAACTATTAAAATGAAACAAACTGGTCTCAGATCAGTTTAGGAATAGGTTGAGGGACATCTGACATAATCGGTTCACAATAAAAAAAATAATAAAACAAAACACGAGCAGACAAATGCTGAAACAGTCTGCAATTTTAAGGCAGATGTAATAATATTATTGTAATTATTTTATATCCATCCATATCAAAAAATGACTATTGTTATTAATGTTGACAATCATGCCATTTTGTATTACACCATCTATGGTAGGGACACAATTATCTACGTACACAGCCAGCAAATGGGTTTAAAACATGGAAAACTGATATTGTCATAATTTAGCTGTGCAATAATGTTAAAACAAGTCTTTAAATGTTTATGACCCCAAAGAAACACACAAGTCACACACACTAGCAGAATTCAAAGACCATAAACCATCTATCCATAGCATTGCCGTTCAACACATGCATGCTTAGCTCTGTATAAACTCGTTGCACTTGCTTCCGTCCGTCTGTGTCATCCTCCATCACACCCATACAAACCTACCACGAGACCTTCTTAACACTAAGATGTGTGAATGTGTGAGTTGAAAATGTCAGAAATGATCCCAAACATGAAGTATTGTTTGTAATAACCAGAATTTAAAGTTTCAAAGGAATGTTGGTCGATATTCTCATTCTAATCGAAAGGTTGAGAACATGCACTTGACATACTGGGCATGTGGTGTAATATTGTAGTCATCCAGAAGAGGGTGGTACATTTGTGTGTGGATGTGACTATAAAAATACCTTATATTTTCATAGCTTTCATTCATGCAATGAAATGTGCAGTAAAGTGTACCATAGCACTCCTGCGTGTGTTTCTTATGGGGTCATAGAACATTACAGCCTCAAAAGAGATGCAAGGAGTTTCTGGTTTCATAAGGAATGGAGCTTCATGATGCCTTAAAAGATTTTTCCTTTTTTCTTGTTCTTTTCCATTGTCCTGAAAAACACAAAAAGACAAAAACATTGGTCAAGAAATTAAATAAAATAGTAAATTGTTAGTTATAGATGACGAAATGTAATTGTTAATATTTTTCCATTACTGGTACTTAATTAAAAAATTATTTTTAACATGAATACTTTTTTTTCTTTTTATGCCACCGCTTTTACGTTTACTGATGCTTTGCAACAAGTTTAGGGTCAGATTTTTTTTTTTTTAAGAAATGAATGCTTTATCAAAAGTGACAGTAAAGACATTTATAATGTTACATAAATAGATATTTTAAATATTTGCTGTTCTTTTGAACTTTCTATCAAAAATCCTGAAAAGAAAAAATGTACAGACCACAAACTTTTGAATGGTAGTCCATGTTTAACGTAAAAACTGAAAAATGATAACTGAAATTAAGTTTAGAAAGACATAAACCATAATATGCAGAATATATTGAATATCTCTTAGGGAATTTATTAAATCATACCTGTTTTTAAAATAACATTAACAAAATATTAATTAAATGTAAAAAAAAATTATTTAATTAAAAATAAATTAATTCATTTCAAATACACTAAAATCACTATTAATTTTGTATTACACTTTTTTTTGTTAAATGCTAAAACGATTTCAGGTTAAAATCTGATTCTGAATCCAGATTTTCAATGTGATCCAGATTTTTGGATGTGAGAGACAAATGGGCCAGTCAACTTGCTTGAATCTACTGCATGAGTGCGGTTCTGTATTTATTAAAAAAACATTTACTGCATAATTTAGGGACTGAATAATACAGAGAGCTACAGAAAGACTATTTTAAGAGAAAGCACCGAGGAATTGAGATGAAAGAACAGCGAGAGTCTCACTTTGATGCATCAAGTTTCTGCTGCTCCAGGATGCGTTGCTGGGCCTCCCAGTTGGCTTTTTCCTCCTGAAACTGGCGCCTCTTCTCCTCAAGCTCTTTATACTGAGCTTCTAGATTCTTCTTCATCTGTTCGTGACGCCTCTCCAACTGCATCAAAGATGCCCAAGGATTTTTGTGATATTAGCCATGACAAACAATGCGGAACCAAACCAAACACAAGCGTCCTCACATACACACCTCTGCCTCAGAGTCCTTCAGTTTTTGCTTCTTTTCTTTGACCTTCATCTCAAAGACCTGCTCCATCTCGGTCTCCATCTTCTTCATCTTCATCACATGCTCCCTCCTCTCCTCCTCCATCTGGGCCAGGGGACTCCTACAAGAGAGACATCATCACAACAATTGTAACCGAGGTGGAGAAATGTAGCATTACGTAACTTGTTCACCATTAGATCCTCTGCAGTGAATGGGTGCCGTCAGAATCTAAACGGCTAATAAAAACGTCACAATAATCCACATTCACTGCATAAAGCAATATTATGACTAAAGGGCTCATATTTTAGCTTTTAAGGTTAAAATGGACTATGATGGATTTGTTTCTTACAAACATGGAGCTTTTGATTCACAAGATGTTAACTGATGGACTTGACTTGTGGATTATTGTGATGCTTTTATGAACTCTCATTCTGACGGCACCCATTCATTGCAGAGAGGTAAATATATCGAAGACGAGACTTTTTAAGAATTTTTCACCACTAGACTACAAGGTTTGCAGGTTTGATCCCAGGAAAGGGTGATCTCAATAACATACTCAATGTTGTTTGGGGCAAAAACTGAAAAACATTTAAGTAAAAACAGAACTGTTCTCGTACTTTGTGAGCTGGCCCTTGTTCTTGGTGGCGTCGACCCCGTTGCAGGTGACGGCTGCTAGTTTCTTACTCCGGTAGTTTTCATAGTGAACATTATTGGTCACGTCCTTCAGGTCCTGCATGTGAGTCCTGCAATGGATTGTTTGATGACAGGTTAAACTTTGATTAAAACTCCAATTCAGTATTTTACTTTCAATGACTTGAAGCTGGAAACTTGTCAGGCCGAGCCTAGATAGAACACAGTGTTAATTCACAGTTTTCTCATGTAACACATCACGTTGTTTCTCACCTGATGAGCATATTCCTCAGAACCGTGAAGTCACAGTGCTCACCGTTCTCCACTGAAACAGGAAGAAATAGATGTTTTAGCTCAATAATAATCACACTGACTTTCAAACCCTTCAAAACGTTCAAATCTCTAACATTAAATTTTCAGCTTTCATTTAAAATGTCAAAATACAATCTTTAAAGCAATTAAACAAGAAAAAAAAAAGTAGGCACTACTTGCATATTCATGTGCAGGGCTATAACATATAAAGCTGTACAACTGTTAATTGTAACAATAAATGTTAACATGAAAATGCATTATTTTTGTGGATATATGCAGTTATGATAGACACTTAATATGAGATTGGACCTCTATTTTAATAAAATATGCAGTCAAAAACAAACGTTAATAGGGATGCATGATATATCAATACTATATCAGTTATCAGCTGAAGTTTTTTGAATTTACCAGTATCTGTCAATATTAGAAATGTAATTTTGCATGCTCATTTCCCTCTATTTTTACATTTAGATAACCTTTGCATCTATAGTAAATCTGAAAAGTCATAATATGACCCTGGAGCACAGAACCAGTCTTAAGTCGCTGACTCGCTGGGGTATATTTGTAGCATTAGCCAAAAATACATTGTATGGGTCAAAATTATTGAATTTTGTTTTATGCCAAAAATCATTAGGATATTAAGAAAAGATCATGTTCCATGAAGATATTTTGTAAATTTCCTACTGTAAGTATATCAAAACTTAATTTTTGATTAGTATTATGCATTGCTAAGAACTTCATTTGGACAACTTTAAAGGCGATTTTCTCAATATTTAGATTTTTTTTCACCCTCAGATTCCAGATTTTCAAATAGTTGTATCTCGGCCAAATATTGTCCTATCCTAACAAACCATACATCAATGGAAAGCTTATTTATAAAAAAAAAATGGACCCTTATGACTGGTTTTGTGGTCCAGGGTCACATATTGTAAAAGATATTGCTGATGCTTAATTTAACTGAAGCATTGTAAACATTATTTTAGCTTTTAGTATTTATTCTTAATTTATTTCGATAAAATAGTATGGAATTCTACTACTAGACATTTATTCATTATTAGTCGTAACGTGATGAGCAATATTGTACAGTATTCTTAATTTACTTAGACTAAATAGTGCAAAATTATACCTCTAGCCATTTATCAATTATGGGCCATAACATGAAAACAATAATTTGAATTATAATGTTGTGAGGACTACATCCACTTTAAACAGTTTAAGCTTTCTGTATTCCTAATTTTTAATTTTTAGAAAATAGTATAGAATTCCACAACTAGCCATTTATCAATAAGCGGCCATAACATGAAAATAATTAATGGGCCGATCATATCATAGAGAGAATTTTATTATCAGTGCATCCCTAATAATAAAAAAAAAAATTTAAAAACAAACATAATACAGTGACAAATTACACATTTACAAGCAAACAGGATCAGACACTGAGGTTGTTGACGGAACAAAATGAATCAGGTAACAATATCAGACAAACGAAAAATCAAAAGACACAGGTCAGGTGGTTGTCAATTAAACAAAAAACACAATTTAGTAATTAAACATCAAAACGGTTAAACAGTCACAAAAATAAACAGCAGGTTAGCAGTTCAGACCGCTGTTATGTGATCATACACAGGTTTGTATGATCAAACATAGTTGTCATCACATGGTATTATGGAAAAAGACCAGAGACACTGTTTTCTGAAAGATGGTGAAAGGATGAAACGTTTTCTGCAAGTCTAACCTGCACAGTTACAGCAGTTATAGAGCCCTACGATGCTTTACCAAGTGAGCATCTTACCTATAAGGAGAACTCATGCTGATTAACTGTCCCACGTGTCAATCATCTGCTACAACCACCTACCTGTGAGAGAGCCGTTGGAAGGGCGGGACTAAAGTCTCTCCTGAGGGAACACCCACTCAACCTGTGATTCATGGGCTACTACCACTAAAAATGGTGTGTTGTAGGAAGGGTTACATGGCATAGCGATGACAAGCAGAGAGACCAGCCAAATGGAGCTAGGAGGAGGGGCAGGGGGTGGAGTCATATGTCTAAAGGGATCATGGGATTTGTAATTTCCTCTTTGATGGGACAGCAAACTCCTGATGCTGACAGGTATAGATGGTGCCTCGAAACGGCATGCTTTATATTGGGTTGTATGTTAAGACAGTGTTGAGCAGAGGTTAGAATGGAAACATTATCACTCAGTCAACCCAGTCAAAAATGCTTATAAATGATGATGTCAATGTACTATAATATAAAATTATGTATGTAAAGGAAAAAAAGAAATGTTTTGACCACAGGGGTACATTTTGTATCCCTCAAAGTATTTAGATCCAAAATAGGGGTTGGAAATAAGTAATGGGAGGCATGCATGTCTGGATGCAAGGTTTTGTTTAAACATATGAGTAGGGCTGGGTGATATATCAAATATTTATGATGTATTTGCAATGATTTTGTTTGCTAAATCAAATGAAGACATAACATAACATCATAAATATTAAGGTAGTTTTTTAATTTGTGGTTATTAGTCTAGCTCTGTGTTCCCTCCTCATCTAGGAGTTGCAAAATATCTGCAGGTAAATATTGTTGCTTATTAAGACTGCCACATTAGTAAATATAATCATAATGGAAATATTATTTTTTTCTTGTGGTCATTTAGAGAAAAACTTATAAAAATTATTATTATTTTTAGAAAAATACTCTTTTATAAAAACTATATTTTCAAACTAAAAACTATATAATTTTATTTCAAATCTTTTCAAATGTTATTATATATTATATTATTGTATGAAGTAATTTGTAATTATACACACATACACACACATTTTATAAACATTACAAATTACATTATGTAACGATATACAATAAAATAATTTGAGTCCTAGAAAAAAAATGAAGTATATGTGATAAAATATTGTATCATATATATCTTTTTTTTTTACTTTTTTAATAATTACTAAATTATATTTTTTATTAAATCAGAAAAATGTATTACCTATTGGTCTCACACGTTACACATTATATACACACCCAACATATAGTTTTCAAAAGCTCAAATTAAAATATATTATGCAATAATAACACAATGAGGTTTTTAAAAATTTGCTTTTTTTATTTGAGGGTTTTTATTTGTAATGTATACTAAATTATCATTTTTTAAATCTCAACAAAAGTATTCATTTTTAATCTCACACTTTCTGATGCATTTGTACATATCAAATATTAGCAAAACTCTATCTCAAATACTGAGATGTATTTTTCTAGCTATATCGTTCAGCCCTACATAGAGGGTAATTAAGAACCTATAAACATGTTAGAGAGCAGTGTTGCTCTATTTTCTATGGGGGCTGCAGCTTATAGGTTTCTCCATCACTATTTGTAGAACACAAATCTGACAATCAGCAAAGATTCTGAGCAGCAAAAAGGTGAAAGAGGAAGGAGAGGGGGGAGGACTTAACGAAGAGCGTATAAATGAAAAATGGTTTTGTTTACCAATAATGCCCTCTGTCAGTCATGGAAAAGAGCAGACAGAAAGAAAAAAAGAGAAAAGAAAGAATGACACGTAAACAACCGAGGAAAAAAAAGACACACTCGCTCACCACACAACAACAATTCCAAATGAAAAAGTTTTCAGGGAGGAGAGGTTTGTAAAGAAAGAAATGTGGGGGAAGTACAACCACAACAACAAGTCATTTGTGGCCTATAATGAATAGAGGGGGTGACAATCTTTCTTTCTGGAAAACCTAACACCTCGTCGCCCTCCCTTTTCCAGAACCCCTCAGGTTGGACATTCGACCTGAGAGCCAAATCATCCAGCAAGCCCATGCACTTGTTTCACACGCACTGGAACACCCCTGTTCTCTTTAGAAATGGTACAGTCCTCATGACAAACTCATATGGGTCATGCTGATGCTGGCACGTACCTTCTGCCACACCCCAGGGGTACTGACGCCCTCTGACCTTCCTGCCATTTACTTCGATCACCACGTTGCTACCGACCACGGCCAGAGGCATCTTCTCCTATTGGTACAAACCACAGTTAATTAAAGTAAGCCTGTATCGACCGCACACCGAGAAAGTGAACAGACACAGCCGGGGTCTGATGTAGATTCGCATTGAACTTCAGAGCCACAGACGGGTCAGCCAACTAAATTGGTTCTGCAGCAGTTTGCATGTCGTCAATAATAACCTCAAGCTAACCTAGAGAAACAAACAACATTGTGGATGCTGCTGGGATAATTACAGACTTTAAAGACAAAACATTTCTCATTGTTTTTCTGTTGTCAAATTCAAAATTTAAGATGTAATAAGGCTGTACATGTTAACACTTGATTAGGGCTGCACGATATTGGAAAAAACCTCACATTGCGCTATTTTATTTTTCTGCGATATATATTGCGATATGAAAAAAAAAACACCACATGACTTGAATAGTTTATTTGGGGAAAAAAAGAATCAATGATTGGGGTGATTTTATAGGCGAGTAAATCAGCATAGGAAATAAACAAATTACAAGCATAGATAAATAACAGAACAACAATACAAATGAAATAAGCAGTGCTTTATATTTTTCAGGTAAGTCTAACAGTATTCAGGTACAGAAATTGAATAATCAAATGTAAAATAACACTGCATAGTCTTCACTGTATAAATTACATCTAATAAATCGGTGTTAAAGCTACAAAAGTGATTTTTCTTTGTTTTGTTGTTTGATTAACATTCATAACACAGAAAGCCTCAGGAACATTAAACTGCTGTAAACCAATATAGGCTATGGTTACACACATCCATTTTCTTTCTCAATTGTTTCCCTTCATCTAAGCCATAAGCAACTGCGTTTACAAGGATACTTGCAGAGCACAGTATTTCAGGCACAAATAGACGCAGAAGTGAACAGAAATCAGTGTTCACGTGCATCTGCGTGGCTCTCACCATGTCTACACCGGATGCGAGCCGCGATGTGCAAAATACAATGAACCCATTATAATCAGTGATGCTGTCTGTCTACACTGGATGCGGCACGGCACGACAAACCCCCGACAGTAAACTGATGCCGCATTCTATTTATGACGTACTGACACAAAGTTCAAATGATTGGCAACTGTCGCTTTGTGTAGACAGTCCAGTGTAGACAGACTTTGGGGCCGTTCACATGTCGTAGACACCGTGTCTGTGTGTGAGCAAAGAAAACAATCAGTATAAATATAACGATCAGTAGCCTATACTAAACATCGCACATCTTGCGATGTGACTATCACGGATGCGCACATCGCGATATCAATGCTGAAACGATATACCGTGCAGCCCTACACTTGATCCATTAGGAAATATGAACTAACAATGAACAATATTTTTAACAGGATCTTCAGGATTCTTACTGTGACTAATGAATTTCTATGGCTTTTCTACAGTTAGACTATGGACAACTTCCAGTTGATCAAGATTTTATATAAAATACATATATAATTTTAAAGAAAAATGTCCATGCAAAAATCTTTTTCTAACAGATTATATATTTCAGAGGATAATAAAAAAAAAAATTATATTCATTGACATTGCAATTACTTTTCCATGTCCATTTAAAAATTATACATTTTTTATAATAAATAATGAACGATACATATTACTTTTTGTTTTATAAATTATAAAAAAATGTAAATATATATATAATTTAAATGCACAAATTATATATAAACTAATTTTATCATTTACCAAATTTGGGGATCTCACAGTCAGGGCAACTCTGAATCTTTGTCAATTTTAGTTTATAAATATACTGGTGTTCGTTTTTAGTTCATAATGAATAAACTAATGTTGTCTGTAATTATCTGCTGTACTCCTGCCAATGTACAGTTTCTTTTAGTGCTTTGTATTAAGCAAATGGATTGACTCTTTACCTTTATCTTTCGGATCAGTTTGCTGTCCTCATCATCCTCTGTGTCGGGAAACTCGTAGATCTTGATTTTGTGCTCCTGGATCTCCTTCATGATCTAATGATGAGAGAACAGTAGTATTTGTAGTACTTGAGAAAAATGAGTCAAATTCAAATCATCAGCTGTAAAATGTAAAAATCACACATTAACACACACCTGTTTCTTGAACAGCTGGCACTCCTCTGGCGTGAGAGTATCGGCCTTGGCGATGAGTGGGATAACGTTGACTTTGTCATGAAGACGCTTCATAAACTCAATATCAAGAGGTTTCAGTCTGAAAAAAGATTCAGAATACAAGTGAATTGTGTCTAACAGTTTACACTTGTTTTGGTGATAATACATTATTATTTAGATTACTAAATTAATTACTGAATTACTGTACAGCAAGGTACAGTTACAGTGCAGTACAAAATTGCAAATCTATACTATGACAATATTACCGTTTTTATTTAAAATATTTATCTTTTAACATTGATACAACTACTGATTTACAACTAAATACTGAAAGTCAGGTAAAATAAATAAATGCATTAAAATAAAGTATAAATAAATAATAAGTAAATAAGTAATTAAATAAATAAATTAAAAATAAAATTGTATTTATAGTATAAATAAATAAATAAAGGGGTGTGACTATTCCAATTTTCTCTTAGGGGTATAAATGTATACCCTTCTATGCATAGCATATAGAATACAGTATAGAAATGTATAGAGTAGTTTATGATATAATACAGGTTATTGTAGTATAGTGCATTATGGAAATAATTTTAGAACTGAGTGAATTCATAATCCTGAAAAATCTTAAAAGCAAAAGTAGGGAGACCACGAAAACTACATGGAACAATGGAAAAAAAAAACAATAAAAAAAAGCATATGTTTTCACATGGTTTTGCACATGGGTAATATAAATATAATGAACGATGACAGTAACGGTAAGGTTAAGTAAAACATTGGATAAGTCTGCAAAGCTTATACATAAACCAAACACAAAAATGATCTGTGTCCTTTGAAGTGATGCAATAGAACTGAAACAAGTAAGGCACCAGAAACGGGCATGAATAAACAGACCAGAGCAGAGGGGCCACTGTCAGCACAGAGCCGCCACCACACAGCACTGAACGTTTTCTCATCGTTTCCTTCCAAACCAGAAAAATTGTGTCATGGAGGGAATGAGGGCTTCACTCTGTCTCTCTTTGCATCACTTTCGTTTGGGCTTCCAAACAAAGAGGCTGTTCTTACACTAAGCAGGGTTTGTGTGTGTGTTTTTGTGGCTTTGGGGGCCAGCTGAGGGGCTGTTTATACATTTCAGGAATGTCAAGACTGAAGATGCAACACAAAGGTCACAGAGATATGAATGTGGTGTCTCAAAAAGGGCATGCAAGAAAATAGCTGTTTGTAGACATAAGGCTACGGGGTCATACTATACTGTATGTAAATATAGAAGTACAGTGCTTCATTTGTCTATTCACAGAAAATAGATGATAAATTACAAACTTGTGAAAGTTTCTTTCTTATGTTGAACACAAAAGAGGATATTTTGAAGAATTTTGAAGAACCAAACTGTTGTTGGTCCCCATTGACTTCCATAGTAGGGAAATAAATACTATGGAAGTCAATGGGGACCAT